TTACGCATGGAAACTTTAATGGATAGAATGCTGTGGTGAAGCATATCAGTTTTGGTGAATTTCCCGCAGGGCATTCTTTGCAAAAATAGACAACGTGGAACAACCAAATTTGGCATCCATCGGAGTAGAGGACAGCAATAGCTAAAATTCCAGATTTCGTTTGACATGAAACCTAGTCGTTTAACAATCAGCTGAAAAAATTCTTACACCGATACCAAAACGGTATCGATCGAAATAGCTGCGTGTGACATCCTTTTCAAAAAGAATTGTCAAACAAAAAATATCATGGAAATTTCAACGACACTTTCACCTCTCTATATTGTTTAAGGTCTCAATTGTTAAATAAATCGCAATTTACTAGGTTGAGACTATTGGTGACGCCTACATGGTAGTGTCTGGCCTTCCTGTTCGCAATGGTGATCGGCATGCTGGGGAAATTGCAACCATGGCACTTAGTTTGTTGAGCTCTGTTAAGGACTTCACTATCCCTCATATGAAATACAAGAAAGTGCAGCTTCGGATTGGTATCCACACAGGTAAATATTACCACCCCTTCTTATTCAAAAACTAATAAACACAAACCGCTTATGGTTGCGAATTTTGAGTCTTGCATAATGTGAAGAAACTTCTTTAGTACTTTGTTACACTTTCTATTAGTGATAAAATTAGAGAGCTTCAGAGAGATTCTCCTCTCTAAATTTATCCTTTTATTTCATAGTATTTATCAACTTTATTTTTACGTATACACCCGATTTTATCTTCACCTGTTTAACCACTACAAGGTCATAAACAAAGCAATGTGCAATTTTTATGCTCAGTGAACTGTAAGACATGTTCCGTTAGCATTTTACAAGGTATTCTTACATGAACGATTGAAATCGTGAGACGAAACGAACTGAGTCTACATGAAATTTCACTTCCAAGTAATTACTGATCAGTTTCTAGCTTTTAGTTTTCCCATGGCTCTTTTCTCAAAACGACTACTATTTGCATGGGTTAGTTTCCAAGAGTGTAGATAAAATTTCACGAAAACCATATCATTTAATTTTGATTTCATGGCAAAGGTCCGTGTGTAGCTGGAGTTGTGGGCCTCAAAATGCCTCGCTACTGCTTGTTTGGGGACACTGTGAACTACGCCTCGAGGATGGAGTCAAGTGGACTTGGTGAGTGCACTGTTAAGTATTCATTTTTTTGTATGTTTTTAAATAATTTATGTATGTTTTTAAATATTGTGTAGATGTTAACTGACTCATGAGATAACCATAGCGAAGTGATGTTTGTAGCGGAGTTAAAAATCTCCCGCACTCACTCTGCATTCTCGAAAACGGTATTTTGTCGTCCAATAGAAACCATTGTCTGCTTCATCAATCCCTCCAAACATGTCCAGAAACGACTAGTGTTCATGTGAAAACATTTGCATCCAGCGGATTATTTCTCGGGAAGTTCCTCCCTGCATAAGCTATGTCTGACAGTCCTAAAGCACGTGACTTTTCAGCCGTTTTGTCTTCAAAATGGCTGAACAACATCTAATCAGTTATGGTTTTCGAGAAAACCACGAGAGCATATCATTTCGGGGGAGTTTTATCAGCACCTGACTAATTCATTGACGTTATGCTTGACAAGGCATTTAAATTATACAAGATCGATAGAAGTCAGGTATAAAAACGGGTATGGATTTTAGAGGCCTTTCCTGACAACGGGAGTCAAAATTGGCATGTTCTAGTCTAAAATATACGAAATCAGGATTTAAAGAAGAGGTCGGTTAATCTCGGCCACGAATTCTACGCTGTTCCCTTGCCTCACTGTCCCATTTGTCCTTATTTACATCTGATATATACGATGATATTTCACAGCACTTCGAATCCATGTTAGTCCAGATTGTAAAGCTGTGCTAGACACTCTCGGAGGATTCTATTTAGTAGAAAGAGGCCCAGTCACGCTGAAGGTAGGGCATCAATATCGGCTTTCTCCTTATTAGCCATCACTACTGCTTTGCATTTTACCTTGTGGTAAAATTTGCACAGATTTACCTTTGAATAAGCTGTAAAGTATCTCCGAAGTGCATATTGGAAACAATTTTGAGAGTATATTCTAGGAATTCATTTTGAAAATTCACCAGTTAGGTTTTTGCCTTTATCACTTGCTTTGCTAATAGGAGCATTGATGTTTTGCAGGGAAAAGGCACAATAGTTAGCTTCTTTCTGTGCGGCAAAGAAGGCTTCGACAAGCCTTTACCTAACCTCGCAGAAGCTGCTTCACTTGAAGAACACGAGTTTAAATGATACTCCTTACAACCTGAATGGGGAAATGGAGTGTACGTGTTAGTAGAGACGTCATGCACTAAGTGTATAAAATGTAATCCAAGTTACATATTTGATACAAGAGCAGAGGTGTGCGTTGAACAACAGTAGCAGTTGTGAAATGTGAATAATGAGCCATAGGGTATAATTATCAAACAAGCCTAAAAAAAGATGTCTCTCTTGACTCGCGTGGTTGGCGAATGTTTGGTTGCCCGATGAAAGTAAAAGCGGCAAAGCGAAGACGAGCAGCAGACATCCAATTTTTTTCGTTCCAGACCTCTTCGTTTTCCTGGTCTCACAGTGTGAAGCTCACTGGACACCGCTTACTACACAGGCTGACCATTCCTTGGAAAATTTAACAACCCTCCACCAGATGATCGTGATTGGAAGACCAGCTTAAACTTTGTCGTTTTTTTTCTATCAAGCGTACACTTACAGTAGCACTACTGTGAACAAGGTCACTGCAAAACTAGCCGATCACACCGCAGGATTGGCTACATCTCGTTTCATTTAGTATGACCTAATCTTACATGCACTTCACACTGATCACACGATCTACGCAACAGTACGTATCTTCGCTCTTTAAAGCGTGGCAAGTGAGAGGGTAAAGACATAACTCTCAACGTTTTTCCTCTGACAATCGCCTGAACAACTTAACTAGGACGATTAATCGCCTAGCCTAATAATTTCCCTGGATTTCGTTTCGGGGATTACCAAAAAAATTCATTCCGCCTTCGGCCAATGAATGATAAGTATGCGTTTCAGATTTACCATCTGTTTCTTTGTGTTAATAGACGAACAAAGAGGAAGAAATTTTATATTTTTGGGTATGGCTTACGGCAATAGAAAATAATATTTCATTCGATCTTAAGAAGGTCATAAAATGTAATCGAAAGTATTTTAATAACGAGAACTGGATCATATAAAAACCTTTTATTTATTACAAAATACTCTTTAACAACTTTTTGATTTGGTGATCATTGGCCATTGTTGCATTATATTAAGTAAGGTGGAAAGTTCGAACTGCAAGATATAATCAGATGCAATAAAACTCAAGAAACTGATGACTGAATTTAAGTTATAACATACAGAAAGATAGCAACGGAGAAAAACGAAAGCTAAGGGAAGGCATATATGGGCTCGAATTCAATCGATCAGTTACACAAGGAAAAAAAAAAAACCAGACTATGAGGCTAGGGGAATTATTGATAAGTCGAACTTTAGTTTGGCCGCAATGTGAGTCATTTTGCATGTGATTACTGGATATTTCCACAATTATCCTATTCTCTGCAACATATCCACAATTTCCTCTTGCAGTCACGTCGTAAAATCGCAATTCATTTTGCTGACATGATATGAAAATTGCACTGTAACTTTCGTCGTCACCAATGACAGGCTTCCTTGTCCTTGCATGCCATCAATCACGTCTTCCGTCCTTTAAATTCTAATAATTCTACGTCATAATTTTCTCTTTTATATACAAGTATGCTCTGGTTCATTCAGGATTCCAAAAAGGAAAACTATTCAAGACTTAAAAAATTCGATCTTTAACTACTATTACATTTTACAGAGATAAGCTGGTTGTCATTCGAATTAGTACGTCAGTTCTAAAAGAACATCTGCTAATCAGCCTAGTGGTAGATTCTAAGTGAAAACCATATTCCTAGGTGCACAGTAGAGATGTTAAATCAGGATCTCAAGAAAAACCGTACAGTAACATGATGAAAATAAAAAAAAAAAAAAAGATTGAAAATGATAAAGTCGACACTGCCCAGTAAGGAAGTTTACGAAAGCAACGTCAGAATCAATCCACTAATTTAACCCTAACTGAATTATGCATGAAGCAAAATCTTTTTCAGCTCTGTTCCAAACTAAAAAAAATCATTTGAGACGAGCACGACTGCGCGCAAGTGACAGTTGGCAGTTTTCTGGAGGAAAGAAAAAAAAAATCGCCCACCACTGGGCACATGCTTAATACATTTTCGGTATTTTGGGTCGTCTCACCTAATCATCAATACGCATATTCCTACACTGTTTTCCACATTTTTCCTATGATACTGACGAGAAGAATTTGATTACCACTCAAGAGTCTCATTAATTGGCGGTCAGTTACGTTATTCTCACGACCTTGCTGTTTGCTTCAGCCGAGATGTAACATCAAATTCTCCTGTCTAACATACAAGGATAAGTATGACTAGCAGTTGGGAGGGTAACCGATTGGATCCGGGGAGTTACAGGGTTAAATAGATTACAACCTCGGAAGAATTCTTCCCTAAGACAGGCAAACACCAAAGAGGTTAGAAAAGAACCAAAGGAATGAGAATTTGCTGAGGATACTGACTCTTATAAAAGATTGTACGAGACGAACATTGAGAAAAATTGAGTGAAAATTTCTCAACATGGATAAACAGTGAAGTAGCTACCTAAAGCAGTTAGAACACTTCCTTCAAGGAGATCACTTCATCTTCCCCCGGAAAAACATATCTCTGTCATAATCTGACGCAAGACCTGAATAGGAGATTACTACTGACCGCTCTTACAAACAAATCAAACACATTTCACTTACATTGATACAAAATACGATCAACGATAGGTCGTAATTTAGAATATATTAATAAATATCAAAAATAAATTTGGTATCTAAAAAAAAAAAAATTAGAATAAAGGCAGGTGCAGGATTAGCTGGCAATAGGGGGGGGGAGCCAAATGACAGCATTAACTTTTTTCCTTGAAAATATTTCTCACGTGTCACTCCTGTATTAACCAACAACACATGAGATGCACTCAATGTAAGTCAGGTAGTCTGCAGTTGACTTCATCTTGTCACTGATTGTGGTAATTCACACCAATTTTTCCGTTCTGTTTGTTAAGCTTAAGTTTTCCTGCAGAAATTGTTCTTCTCGTTGTCGCAATGTTTCCGTAACAGCTACAAGCTTTTTGAGCCCCGGCTAAAATAAACACACAAGAATACGTTTTAAATAGACCCTTTCATTTCAGCTCATACGTTGCAAAAAAACCTACTTAGAACGTAAACAGCTTGTGAATGACCAACCGGCGGTTGCTTTTAGTTTTGAATCTTATTGGTTGAGAGGATAGAGCGAGTTTGCAAGACCAATCACAGAGCGAAATAAAGCAAAACCAATGCAATCCCGCATTACTCTCGAAACTCAACTGAAATTGCTATAAATGGGAACAAACGTTAAAAACGCCTCCCGTTGGAACTTGAGTACCTATTTATAAGTGCAGATAAGTAAACATTAGCATCACTCCACACAATATTCACCTCATAAAAGAGTGACATGAATCCCGAACCTCCTAATTAAAAGTCTGGCGAACCGTCGGAGCCATTCGACCACGCCCCCCTTCACAATGAGATGCAGAACTTTTACATTTCTAAAAAATCGAGGCGTCCCTTTTTTGAAGGTAACAGACAAAAGGTTAAAGGAGCACTTTTTGAAGTCGGGACCATCGTGTATGTCCTTTGAAGAAAGGTATTCCCTGAAAAGAGGTGTCCCGCGCAAGAGAGGTTCTACTTTTACTTTAATATATATGATGGAACTATGGGAGTGCATGATACCCTTTTAGAAGACCTCCATTCCAGGGACATTATATTAACTGTGGTTCCGAGTGTTCAAAAAAAGAAGATTCCTTGTGAACTTCGTCAGTTGAGCGGACACTTTTTCTAGCCCCGCGGGAGGTTGGAGCATCCATAATATTACCTGTGTTTGGCTCAGCTGTTGTAGCTCTGACATGTATGTCCAACATATATCGTAAAGAGCGGCAAGATCACGCGATGGATCTGAAGACACTTGCTCCGTGATCGGAGGAGTTTGCGTCACGTTCTGGAAAATTCAATAGAAATATCATGGGGAACGCAATTATTGAACAAGTAATGGCACCGTTGACAGTACAAACATCAGTTTTGTATCAAGTAAACCTTAATTATAGTGATATGTGTTTGGTAAAGGGACGGATTCGAACGAACACAGTTGTGAAGTCTGCCAACCTATTATAAGAAGTTAACATTTCATGTTATTGACGCGAATTCGGAAAATTGCATGAGTCACTTTCATTTTTGTCAGCTCTACTTCTGCGTCATGAACTAGATGGATCTTAACTCTTCATTATTTCTGCTCCGAACTAACAATATACGTTTGACATTTTGAACTAAAGAGAAATAGTAACGAAAGCGTTTTGCCATCGGGTCGGAGATCTACCAATGCTAGATTCGTCCCGCACGTGTAGGGAATTTTCCACAGACAATGTTTACAATTGCGGAGTTGTCACTTTAAGTGTTACGGTAAATTCACTACTTTTCGTCTCCTTAAGCTAATTTCACTCATTTTGAAATGGCAGCATCTCTTTCGCGTTTATTACGTTTACTGGAAGGTTGTTTCTCCTTTCATTTGCGTAAATCTAAGTCGCATTAAATTCAAGCATTTAAATTTAAGTGAACGTTCATTTCCCAGAGCAGAGTAATCGTTTCTTGCAAGAAGCACATGGCCTGTTCCAAACGTTCCGTTTAGTGAAACAAAGCGCGATAGTAGCGGAGGAGGAAAAAGTAGGGAAAGATTTGGGTCTGAGCCCTACGCGACCCAATCCAAACCTTTCTCGCTTCGCTCGGCCGCTAATCTCGCTCCGTTTACTAACTGAAGGCCTGGAACAGGCGAAGATACATGTAGTGTTAGCCCAGAGTAACAGAAAAGCCATAAAGACTCTTCGAACATACGACGAAACGAAAGCCCCTTAAATACACCATCAATTCCTAGCGTTAACCCCGTCTACTACAAATACGCAACTACTCAACACCCACCCAACTAGTTTGGGGAGTGCCTAAAGTAAATTGACAACATTGGAAATTAGTGTTATAGATATTATTGACTTACCGCCAACTCGTCCAAAAAATTTATCATTTTTTCCTTGTTTCTCAAAATGAAAGGATTTACTGGGGTCATGAATGATTCCTGCAACAGATAAAACATAAAAAGCTCTGTCGGCGAAACAGGGGAAAAAAAGTTCCTGGTATTTTTAGGCGTTACTGACCTTGACGCCAAATTCAACCAAGTTTGCTAAGTTTTGAAGACACTTCGCTACAAGTGTCAGAGTCCGAGCAGCACACAATGACGGAGATTCTGACAAAATAGAAAGCATATGTATGAACGATTACTCCATTTTACGTAAGTTTATGTAATACAAAACAATTAAAAAAATATATAAAATTTCCGCTCACCTGACATCATGTTGCATATTCTTGGGTTCATTATGGCGGGACAAATTAACCGCAAGAAGAGAAAACCACTGAAGCAGGAAAAAGAGTACAAAGAAAGAAATCGTTTTAGAATAATTTTCTACGCAGGTGGACCTGCGAACTTCATTTTGAGTACAAGTTTAATCAACATCCATCAAACGTTTATTTACGCGCACGATTGGTCTGAATGCGTCACGTGACCGAATATGCCCCAGGTTCCAACCTCAATGCCAATACGAAAAAAGTCTTTGTTTAAAATTTACTTCAAGATGAGAGAGCATTTGTTAAAAAACAAAGTTATTTAACAAGGAGTTTATTGCTAGTAACCATTTCAACTCCATTCTTTGAAGAACGACTCGAAAATGAGTAAACATAATGACACCAACTAACCGCTAAGTTTCCACATTGAGCTGCAAATGATTTCTCCATGCAACCAAAAGTCAAAGTTCTACGCATTTTGGAGATCAAACTTGAATAAAAGGAGTCTTTTTTCCCGAAGATACTCAGTTTGGTTGCTGAGGTAGACCGTGCTCGGTTTTATAAAGGGTCAACATTTCTGAATGAAGCAATATGGATGGATAAGGAAAAAAACAGAAAAAAATTCGGACGACGGACAACATGCAGAAGACGATAGTCGAGGACGGTGGACGTTCGACGGCGTATAAGGATAGGCCGATGTACGACGACTGATTTCGGAAAGTCGATGGTCGATTGTGAAAGTACGACGACCGATTGCGGAAAGTCGATAGTCGATTGTGGATGGCGAAAGATGGATGACAAAATCCTTTTTTTCCTCTATTTGTATCATTTGCCTCTTAACTGCACATTTTAAAATCATGCACCCCGAAGGCAACGGAAAAAAAATTGTGTAGCACTTACCTAACAACACGGCTTCTAACTATTTCATTGTCGGACCATCTATCTTTAACATTTTGCTGCAGACAGCAAAACAGATAACGCAAAGTTCTGCAAAATTAACAGAAAATACTTGATGATGCAGCAAATTCAGATCTACTGTGGTGCCATTCCTGTTAACTATGTTTAATTATTCAAGACTATTATAACATCACACGTTGACTTTGGGAGATGGATTCCTGACAGCTTCGGCGAGATCAAAATGGGCTGATAAGTGATCTACGAGATTTTAGGAGTTTGTAATGCCAAGTGTCTATTATTTTAATTTTTGATATATCTTCTCAAATCTCGACAAAACCTTAGATCTGAAATCATTATAATCCATAATGGACACGATCCTTTATTCAAAACCACAACTTAGTGAACATTTTTCTTTACGACTTCGTCAACGGGTTTTACAAACAATATGCCAAGAGTAACAAGATAGACACTAGAGAGAGAGTGACAACAAAATGATTTTGTTTCGATAGCAACTTTCTCACCTTGGACAGTCGTCAGGTGACCTGACAATCGCATCAACCCCTTCAAATAAAAACTCCAGAAGTTGTTTAAGATTTACTACAGTGTCTGCGCCTTTCTCAAGTTTAGCTGGATTTAACTGCAATGCAACAAAAATAGCAAACAATTACTATAAATGCCTTGATCACCACCTGCGGTCTTTCCAGCATGAGATAAAACAGAACCTCTCCTTTAGGACACCGGTCATACCTCGCAAGACTGTTTACACTCCACAATTTTTGCTACGACATCACCGATTGTTTTCTGTAGATAGGGAATAGCGACCATTTTCATGTACTGGTCCATGAGTGTCGTGGTTAACGAAGTTCCGCGAAACAACGTTGATACTTCCTCTGCAATCAACAAAGACAGATCAACTATATCACTGCAATACTCACCCGTAAAATCAGGGAATAGTTGGGAGTTTAAGCAGCGGCTAAAGCCGGAAAAAAGTGAACTTCATTCTGTTAGTCTTCGGTCGTTTTTACAATAAAGTCGGAAACAAATTCATGTTTCCTGTGAACGAGATTTTTCTAGCATTTTTGCAATGCGTTGACGTCAAGATTGTACAAAAAGTGAATAAATTCAGACTTCATTTAGATGTAGCCCCAAAAGATCAAACTCACCTATGACGTTCTGATCCTAATGAATTGACAAAAGATACGACAAGAACGGGAGGGATGAGGCGAGTTGGGCGCGAACCGAATGTTGTTAGATCGCCCCTGAATCTTCAGCACTTTGAAGCATTCTGGTCCAACAAGAAATTTATCACAGCTGACGTTCCTTTTCGTTTGTCGCCATCAAGGAGCATTCATTTTTGGACATTTCTATCTCTTTAAAGGGCTAATATTCGTAGAGGACTCTAATATACAAAAACGCTGTATTTCTATTTCTAATTAATTCATCGTAGCTGACGTTAGTTTTCGTTTGTCGCCATCATGCAGCATTCTTTTTTTGGACATTTTTTACCTCTTTAAAGGGCTAATATTCGAAGAGGACTCACCTTGATTTTCTATTTCTAATGAGTTCATCGTTTTTAGTAGGAAGATTTCTTCCCTTTCATGACGGAATATTTTAAGCAGAGTGGAGGCCAGGCTCACTCGGTCCTTGCACACCTGACCGAGGCTCTTCACAGCTTGTAAATCCTTGTCCAGAATGATCTACAAGAGGTGAACAGGTTACAATGTAAAATGCTACACAGCTACCCGATGGTTCATCTTGTAGGAGCAAACCCTCAACCTCGTGTTGGATATGAAAGCAGGTTTAAAACGAAAGTGATCCGTTTGCTCTCTGTGCAGTGAGCTACAATGAGCTTTTCCGAAAATTCGGAGGCAATATCGACATATCACGAAGATTACTGATTCATATGGCAACTTCTTTTAGGGAAAGACCAATGGATGCCTTGAGCATTCAGTGGTGTTCATCCACAGGCCTTTTTGTAAGTGTATGTATCTTTTTCCTTTTTCCCTTTTTTTTTTTAGGCGAGCACAGGGAAGTGTGAGGCGAGCGTGAGGGTGAGACACGCGCGAGGGGAGGAGCGCGAAAATAGGCTGCGACATGACCGCCTATGGCCACCTAAATAAGCAAAAAAATGACGTCTGTTCCACAGGCTATCCTTAAATATTTTAAATACCACTCTTAAATACTTGCAAGTTTACCATTATCAGCTAAAGACCATCCTTAAATACTAACCAGTTCTATGACTTGAAGCCTTCGTGGGTATATTCGTAAATTAACCTCAACAAACCAAATGCATTGCGGTCCAATGTACGCTAACAATTTGCTTTCAGCAAAGATTGATGCTATAAACATACTCACCTCTTTGAGTGAATTATACTCTTCAACCGGCATAATAATCTCATGCTGAAAAACACAAAGTTCACAGAGTTTCAGTTTTCAAGCTGCTAAGCTTGGGGCGCTTAATATGAATCAGAATTTTCCGGCCAGATCTAAATTATTGACCAGAACTGACTGACCATGTCAGTGAATTTCTACAGTGTATCCCATGTCATGATTATATTTTCAATCACTATCTTCACTATCAAAAGAAATAAGCGTTCGGGGACCACCTCTTATTTATCAGGGGGGGGAATTCTGGGGATCACATGGTTTTCAAGGGGGTCAACCGTCGCAAATAGAGCATGAAAGGGGGAGTATAGAAAATTGACTGAAAAAAACTGGAAGAAACACTACAGCCGCCCCCCCCTTCACCCCCCGCGGCGAGAAGAATGACCGGTCTCTTCTTATCAAATTGTCCAATTCAATTACTTCTGGCTTATCAATTCAGGCTCCTGGTAAACACCCTTAAAATTCAACGTCCCGATTTTGGGAGGTATTCTACGTTCGGTCTCTTAACTCCGCCAAGTTAAGAAATCATTTACTTATAGCTGATGGTAAATTTCTCACCGTGAATTTACTCCGGACGCGAATGCTGCCGACCTCCATTTTGGAGTGAGAAGGCGAAAGAAGTGGGTACCACTCATCCAGTACATTTCCTTTGGGTAAACGGTTAAGTGGGACCATTGCACTTCCTGTTGACGACACCAGAACACAACCAATCAAAAAATTATCAAAATTAAACTTGGCATCTAAAAGGCTAACGTCTTGTGGAAGTTTATCACACAGTAGGGCACAACTGAACGCAAAAAAAAAAAAACAAATAAAAACAAAAACAAAAACAGGCTGTCTGCAAATCAGTAAATTAGGCTCGATAACTAAGCCTTCCGTTGTTAGGGAGCGCGGCACCTACCTACTTGACCATCTCTGGAGCGTTTGTTGCGATTGTAGAGATCAACTGAGTAATAAGACACATCGGAGGGCAAGTCACTAAAATAAAAACAAAATTTTCAATAAAACAGTCATATAATATCTCACAATACGCCGGCAATGCCTCGTACCTTTGTACCTGTGCCATCTAATCAACAGTATTTATGATATAAAGGCGGTTAATTGGTTTTGTAATTCAGGACACACTTTATTAACATCATTTAAAAATTATGGAGTTGGGTATAACAATCTTTTATAGACGATTACATTGAATTCACACTACGCAACATTGCATAAATATACACCATTAAACCATATTTTTTTCAATAGGAGACCACAGTTACATGTATGCTTAATCATTGCAATAAAACGCCCGGAAAGCATGCGATGACTTAAAATCCAAAATATAATTTTATTAGGCACTCACTTGAACTTAAATTCTTCGTTCCATATGGGCGAATGTCCCTCCTGTGTCTTCGTACGGCAAGTTTTGACTTCGTTCAAGGAAATCATGCAGTAAGGGTGAGAAACTTTGTTGGAATTCAATTTATGGGCCTCTACTATAGTAACTTCCAAGCTTCGTAGCTGCTTCACATCCCTCTCGCCTAGGTTGGTGATCATTGGTTTCCCACAAAACTTCTTAATCGCCTCCATCCAATCCTAAAAATTCAACAAGAAAAAAATTTTTAAATGGCACATCTCAAATGGAAGTGAAAAAAGAATTAAAAAGAAAAAGATCACCAATTAAAATAATACAAACCAGAAGAAAAAACAGGGAAGAAAAAAAATTATACGTCAAGACAAGAGCGTGATATCTCCACCCGACATTGGTTGTTCGATGAGTGGACAACATTGTCCATTAGGAAAATTTCTATCCATGGATAGCGTAGTTTGTTCTTTACATGGCTCTCTAGTGGATGGCAATTCATCTGGTCGGTAGCAATATGCTTACTTCGGACAACCCATACGTGAGTGGCACGAAATGCACGCCGCTACTGCCTCCAATTTCGTGAAACAAAGACACCGCACATGGAAAATTTTCTTGAAAACAAACGCTCACAAAATGTTCATCTTACACACACTGTTACTTCGAAAATCAATTCCAAAATCCAGCAAAATTTTCAAAGTTTCGTCCCAACGGCTTCGACATATACGGAAAAATTATCTACGGAAATAAAATTAAAGAAGAACAAGTAAAGAAAGCCTTACGTTTGCCAGATCCTGTGTGTCGGCGCAAAGGTAGAACATTCGTAACTCATTAAACGCTCGCACCACCACTTGAAAACAATTCGGCCTTTGAGAAAAAGAACCAGAACATAAAAATAAGAGAAATAAATCGATAATTTGAGCCATAACACTCTGCACGAATGTTTGCCTAGTGATATTTACCTTCTGAGACATTACCAGGAAATACCACGGATCATTGCGCAATATTTATTGCACAACCCTTTACGTAACTGTGAATCTAAAATTTCTCAATTTCTGGTCAGTGTTTGCAGAGCTATATCACCCCTGCATGACCCGGTGAGTCTCACGCAAACCTGAAAAATCAATTCCAAACCCGCTATTTTGCGATACAAAAATTGTCGTATCACTGGCGAGAACTCTGAGCCTTAGCTCTTGAAAATTACGTAGTTTTCTTCACATATTTTGATTGGTTCTTAAATATAAGATATCACAGCGCAGACGCCAAGATAGTGTTCACAATAGATGTTTGTTCCTGTACGTCAAACGACCGTAGGTTTTACCTTACGGTATGCCCGTTCAGATGACGATCAAAGAAGACAAAAAATGTGATGAGATCATTAGTAATACTTTCGCCTATGGCAAACGTGCCACTTGAAGTTTGTTGGTATCACATTTGGAGATAAACTTTTAATTAAGTTTGAAAATGCATTGGTTAGAGGGCGCACAACGAAAACAGCGAGGCACGAGTGGAAAGCTATAAGGTAACCAGGAAAAAAAATGGATAAAATTATTTCGTTTCTCACCTGCCGAAAAAGCTTTGATGAACCTCGTAAACCATAGAAAAGCTAAGATCCATCATGCCTTTGGGTTTAGTTCTCTGAGAACGGAAAACCAAGGGCGAGTTAGAGAGGATTGAAGAATTTAAAGAGTGATAATCGATATTGAGATTGTACTTTACAAGATCTTATCATTATTATTATCATTATTATTATTACTAACATTATTAAGATCATTAGTATTATTGTCATTATCATTATTATGCCTCAATAAACGTGTTCGTGATTTGTTTCTGAAAATGTAGGTTTCAATGCTTTGGAGTCGAATTCAATTTTAGTGATTTAGTTCTGCAGTTTTCCTCATAAAGGTGCCGTAATAGCAAAGACGTAATAGCAAATCGAACCGACCATAAAATATAAATCATTGATGATAAAACTTTAATCTTTCCCCTAATTTGTTTCATTTTTACTCATTGCTTCCGCGACTGACTTAGTTGTTTTTTGTTTTTACTTGTATGTGTTTTGGATTTTTATTCCATAATCCATTTTCATGTCGAATGACAGTTCAGGGTTTTGTTACAAAAATGCGGGAAATATATTCAATTCAGACCTTTTCATTTTCAAAGAAATACAAATGTTGTTCATCTCCATCAAGAACGAAGAACATTCGCTTCCATTTGTTGCGATGCCCTGCAAACGGAGAAAAAAAGAAAAAACATCAAAATCCGCAGTGTGAAAATAAAGACCATACAGGGCCTGTGAGTCATTCAAAAGCCGGTTCAATTTAGGTTCCACAATTGTAATCCAAGTCAGTATTCAGTATCCTTCAGAATATTCGTTTCTTTTGTTTTTATTACTGTAGTCTTTCTAAACATTGTGTAGCTGTTGGGTTCAATGAGACACTGAAATCAAGAAACCATTATTAACTTAACGGATTTTTTTTTATCGTTGAATTGATCGTGCATGTCGTTGCTGAAATTACACCAATAATAGATCACACTTTCCATCGGTTTACCAGCGTAACAATCCATTTGGGATGTAAAAAGAACTCAAGAAAAGTTCGCAAATCTCTTGCCTCTAGCTCGTGATTTACAACGTTTTCCCAAGTGAGTTATTACGTTGATAAACCGATAAAAAGCGCAGTCCTCTGCTTCCATAAAATAAATTTCAACTTCTCTAGGTGAACCAGTACAATAAACCATAGGATTTTGACCAATCAGGGCGCTCCTAGTATTTCAGTTCCTTCACAAGCTATATTAAATACTGATGACAAACGAAAAACGTTTTGCCGATCCTTTCCATTTTTTTCTTCCTATCCTCTCCTTCACCATCCCAATTAATCCTAATAATCTTCTTTTTCACAGTAATCGCATCTTTTTGTCTTTACCTTAACAAAATTCTGCTGGAGAAAGATAGTTCATTCAGAGATATATTTAAAAACTCAAGAGATCGAAAATCGTCCGCTCAACAGAAGAGTTGAAAAAGATAAGCGAGAAGAAAGCAATATTCCAATGGTGTGGAGAAAAATAAACAATGGATCCTGAGCACTGTTACGCACGCGGGTTTACTTAAAGCGCAAGGTACTTCTTCTTTTCTTAATCAAATGGAGGTGCCTATTGGAAAATGACGCTCACTTTTTTTTCAAATTTCAGCCTGGATATCACAATTTCGACAAGTTTGGACATTTTCACACTTTCTTTAAAACCATAAAAACACTTTTGGAAACTTTTCGAGGTATCGTTGTTATTGACAATATCTCTTCTACTTAGCCGCACAAGTAGTCAGAATAAGTACCTTTCTTTACTAAAAATCCTCTCTTGAAAGCAGGCTGAGTTCGATTTAAAATGACTGGTCCTGGTGTTTCCGATCTAAGTACAAATGACGAGCCATTTCTACTCGGTGTCATGGGTCTATGTGGAAGATCCCATTCCTGGGCCTGGAACCAAACCAAAATACAATTAACTGGACAGAGTTTCAAGGTATGTTAAATTAATCTTCTTATTCCCTCTTCAAACCTCTCCTACGCAGAAAGATTGGTGAGAAACAAACAGTTTTCTCTTTAGACAATTTGGTTTGTCAACTGAGTCGAGAATGTAAATTGCCCACCGTAAAGGGTTTGTAAAGCTCACGTGTCGAGAGTCCCTCGTCAGCCCTATCAGGCTTTCGCACAAAGCCTTACGAATTGTTTTTTATGTCTTAAAATCATCACGGACCTTGAAGATTCACTCGACAGAAAAAAAGAGAAACATTTCAATGAACTTTTGACTGTAAGTGTATTACGTTGGGCAAGAGGAAGTCGCGCATGCCCGATAAACTTTCAGTGGGGTTCATCTGTCACTCGGCTATGAAGAAACCAATTGTTCAGGATGTCCTTTTTCTTCAGGAAAAGAACTGAACTTTAAATCAGACCCTGCATCTCGTTACAACATCACTCGTGAATCGCACATGAAGAAAACAAAACGAAAAAAAGCAAAAACGTCAATCTACATCTATGCCCCGCTCAGGTGGCACGATCCAAACACTGAATGCTGGTCACTACTGCTAGGGAAACACTCCCAGTTTCTTTGTAAGCAAAATTAACCCAACCGGTAAAACCAAAATAAGAACTGTAAGTCGACATACGGAAACTAACACACGTCACATTTAAATTCAGTTTAACTTGCAATTTTGACGCATTTTTCCTGAATAGACAAAACATCCCAGAGAGTGGGATTATCATAGCAAAATGTTTTCAAGCTAAAAAAAGTCAATCGATGGAGTACAACTAACACAATACATCAGAAAATCGATCAAAAGTAAAAAAAAACAACACCAAATGTGGTGAAAAAATTGAAAAAGTATATGACAAATCTCTTCAGAATATACACCTACTCAAACGCTAAGGGATGGGAGGCAAACAACTCTTTCAGAGTAGCTAAGCAAATGGAGGCACCTGGCAATTCACCTGGCAATCCATCTGAAAACATTCCCTGGACGCTTCTATCTATCACTGAAACTGCTAAACTGACTTAGTTTTAAACCTTGCTTAAACCACATTTCGCCTCATGAAACTCACAAAAAGTGCTTACAATAACCTGTTCGGTGGTTTCCAAATGGATCACTCGATAAACAAGCGAATAATACTTGACCGCGTGAAAAAAAAAACAAAAAAAAAAGGCGAAAACTTTTCTTACTCATCTAAACAATGATTTCCTCGTGTAATCTTCTTTCCACATTTCAAGGTCCATAGAATTTTCAGCGACAAAAATTGAAAGAAAGAAAAGCTCACGAAAATGCACCCACATGTTCAGGAAATGCAGAAACAGCTGAAGGATGTGTCAGAGACTCCCACAACAATTCGTAGACAAAACAATCCCACTCGAAAACAGTTCAAAAAACAAAACTTGACCTTATCGAATAGAGTTTATTCGTAAATGAAAAAAACCAGGACAGTTTTGAAGTATGAAATATAACATAAATTCGATCATTGGTTAATTAAAAACTCCCAAGTCTTTTTCATTATTATCACTTTTCCCAAGCAGACTCTCATTGGCGCTGAAGCACGAGCGGCGATGCCCGTGAGAGGTCTGGCAACAACAATGACAGCCTACGAACACCTAACACACTAGTATAAGTAGTGAGTAATTGCACATGCAAACGGTTCAGTTGGACTTAGCAGGGGGAAAAAACTTACCCTGGATACAGGTTCCTTTAACGAAAGATTCTCCACAATGTGCTCGTGCTTGTACCTTGCTACCACAGCATCCACACTAAAACGAAAAGAAAAGTATTCGTATACAGATATATATATTTTTTTCCTGAACAAAAACTGTACATCTCCAGCCTCGTTAACAGTTTCAACCCTAGACTGAAGCATTCGGAATGGAGATTGTAATGTTTGGAATATTACTGCATAATTCAATACTAACTATGAGACCGTGTGTATATCCTTCCCCACGGAAAAACTGTTCTGAGCAATCCCCAGAAAATGTAATAAAAATAGTAAGAAATACAAATAGACCTAATCGTTAATATTCCCAAAAATTTCTCTTTAATCAATTGACATACTGTCAGAATTGTTTTTGGTCTATATTAATAGCTCTCTAAATGCATTCATGTACTGCGTTTCTAAACTCACCCGAAATTGCCGCGTTGTCACTTAGCAAAACAGACAAACGCCCTTAAATTACTGCCTGACGTTAAGCCAAGAGTTTCATTAGTGAACGGCAAAGTTGATTAGACAAAACTAAATGAGATTAAGGCTGGTACATTGGATGAAAAGCATCACGCAGAAAGAACTCCGAAATACCGTATCCTGCAGGTGATACACCCCTAATTTGACGTCTGTCTCCTCAAACTCAAACGAAAGGAAAAAAATAGGGAATTTGAAACCGACCCATGTTTCAAGTTAAAATAGTGAGAAGATCAACTTAAGCAAAATATCTTCACTGAGAAAACGTTTTACCTTCATTTCATCGTGACCTTGTTTTGTGTTCGGCTTTAAACAACGCTGAAGTTGCTTTGGAACGATGAGGCACAAAAAAAAGTCTTGGAATATTATCTTCGGCTGAATTACTGCCGCTCAAGTTTTAACAGTTGCCCTCGCTGATCACAGCCAACTTTAAAAAATCTCTCAAATACATCATCCGATGTAGGGATGTATTTACTACATCAATCGCAAACAGGGTACATTTTCTTATACTTCAAAACGTTAGCTAAAATGTTTTACTCTATTGAGGTTCTTTCGGCTTGCACAATAAAGCACATAACTAAGACACTATTAGGGCATGGAAATAACCAAAGTAAAGAATAAAATCTCCATTTTAGCCCGAAAAATGCACCACAGTTTCCGAAAAAGTGATAATTATGGCAAGTAATCAGCATGCTACATAAATCCAAACTTGTAGTCTTAAATGACAACCAACAGCTCAGCAGTCGCAAACTTCAATTGATAGCCTAACCCTAAAATTTTCAGTGACTCCACAACATGCGACAAACATGGCCTTGATCATATCATCACCACAACGAATCTAAAGTTTACCTGTCAAAATTTCTCCCTCCCAAGGAATACTGCATCCCTTGCTTTCTGATCAGGAAGCGAGTGATACCATCTGGTCCTCTATAAAACATTGAAAATTTTAGTTAAAAATACCAAAGAAATGAAAATTATTACACAGCTGTGACAAGTCTAGTTCACACATAAATAACAGAATTCAAGTGCCACTCGTTTAAATGAAGTTCATTTTGGACTGCTGTTTTAACAGTAACTGAACCTTCAGATTTCTCTTTAAGTAAGTTAGTTGAAAAAAGTTTCATTTTTGCTTCGATGTTGGTTTTAATCCTTACACCCTTGCATCAGTATAAATATTCTCCACACTGCTTTCTTTACGTTTCCAACGATACCAACAAGGAGAATTTGTTTAATAATCAGGAGCTTTTTAAATAGTGATCATTTACAAACCAAACCACATTCTCTGATTGAATCAGATACTACAACAAAAATTTTACAACAGTTGCAGTCTGGCTTAAAAGAAGCATATTAATTTGTATTCTTTCTCACCTGAGGGAGAGGGAATAATCTCCTGGAGATTTATCACTTGGCCTTATGAGGAAACTCCCAATAACACCATCTATCACATTAAAAACACCAAAACAATTTGGTAGTGCTTAACATCTGGTAGGCACATAGATGCGATTGCCTAATGGGTCAAGAAGTCTGGAACCCAGAACCAGCCAACTTGCATTCTATTCTTGTTCAAGACACTTAACCCTTTAACTCCCAGAAGTGATTAACAAGTAACTTCTCATAATAGTATCCATACATTATCTGCCAAATGTACAGCAATTATCCAGCAAATATTCTCACCATTGGTAGTGAGAATATTTAAACTTGTGCGGTATAAGATATTATATTGATCCACCACCAAATTCAAGTAACAATTCTACAAGGAAATGTGTAGCAGCTGGAGGGAAGAATTGACAATCAAATCTTGGGAATTAAAGGGTGAACTCTTACAGTGCCTTTATCCACCCAGGAGTATAAATGGGTATGAGCAAATTATTTACTATAATGTGATAGGTTAAAAATTTGTTTAAGTAGTGGCAGAAACAAAGTCATTCTAATCAATCATTGTAATGGTTACTTTAACATAGACTGGGTCTTGGAGGGCAGTGCTTATTCTCAGTTTCTGTATCATTTAACTCCCATTGAGTGACCAAGACAGAATTTCTCCTTATAATATCAATACAACATCAAGCAAACAAGTGATGAGAATAAAGGAAAAGATCAGTCAGAGGATTGTTAGTTGATCCAATACCAACTTCTCCCAACTACCTTAAAATCATAAGAATAGTATGACAAACAGTAACGAGAATTACTGACAAGATCTAGGGAGTGAAAAGATTAAGGATGTTTGGATGGAATGTAAGTCCATCCCAGGTTACCTCCCAGCATTTCACCAGGCTTTCCTAACATTTTGCCACACCACATTTTTACTCCTAGTTTAAGAGAGGCACTGCGAGGGGGAAGTGCATTTGGCAACTAAGAAGTAGTATTTAAAAAACGAGTGAGAGGGTTTCATTATGGTATCCAAATATCAAGAAACAAATGAAAGCACGAGGCCACTTCGGCCAAGTGCTGTTATTTGTTTTGAGATGTTTGGATACCATGATGAACCCTGAAGCACAAGTTTTTTAGATTGCTTCTCAAACTGCCTATATTAATTATCACCTAAATCATAACACTATTGCTACATTCTATTCGTTGCATAATTTTGGACATCATTATCAGCTACCGCTCATCTGTTGTCTCTTCGGGGTTTCTTTGAGGAATTCAAAGTGTATGCTTAATTTATGGTAGTTTTGCTCATTTAGATTGTAGCTCAGTGGTTAGTTGGAGCTTGATTATGGCAGAAAGTAATGCAGTTAATTGTTTTACTGTTCCATAAAGCGGTGAAGAGGAAAGTAAACTTCTAAAGGAAAGTGTTCCCTAATGAACCATTACAGTAGTTTTTCTTATTTGCATTTCATGCTATGCATGAATCTAGATATCCAATAAAAACACATATCCAGATCACTATTGATCTAGATATGCATTTTTATTGGATAGCTAGATTCATGCATATGATGAAATATGGATATGCATTTTTATCGAGTATCTAGATTCATGCATGTGATGAAATACTTTTCCCTCATTGGCTGATAACCTCATGAATAATTAGTGAGTTTGAGAACAAAATATAATGACCCAGCCAGGGTGTGGATTTTGATTCCAATGTAGTAGGCAAGTGACAACTTACCAAATACACACTTAAAAAAAAGGAAAAGCTAAACATATGTAAATGTGCATCAACCATAACAAAACAGAAATAAAATTAACAGAAGAATTCATAATTAAAGAAGTTACCTCTGTGAAGAATCTCCTGTGCTTCATCTCTTGAAATGTTTGCAAAGAACCACCTTAACATAAAAATTAAATTATACATATTGAAATGATGAGATGAATTATACACACATTTTGAGTGGTTCTTAATTGTGATCTATAGGAGGACAGTCAATAATAATAATAATAATAATAATAATAATAATAGTCACATAGATGACATCATCAATAACCCAAAACATCAGTATGCATATTCTCCATATTGTTCTCCATACTTTTCCAAAGAGGCTGACAAGGAGAATTTGTTCCACAATCAAGAGCTGCTTTAGTTGGTGATCATTTCCTCCATTCCCATCCCTTTAATGTTTGATTCAGGGGTGATATTGTAGGGAGAAATTAGAAGCTAGTCACTCTTAGGATTTAAAGGGTTAACAGCATTTTTCTGTGCCATGAGCCACTTTTTTGTTCTTAACACATTTCAATGTCATCTGTGATCTATAGCTGAACAGATGCACTTGTAACAACATGGAATATTTTTATAAAATAGTTACATTTCAAAATTGCATATAGCCACAATGACAAGATCAACTACCCCTGAAGAGAAAGAACTTACGGCTTTCCTGCACAAGGATCAAGATCTTTTTTCTAGAAAAACAAAAAGAACAGTTTACTTAGCATGCACAAAAAAATCATCACTGGTTTGATGCTCAATAGTTGAGTATTTCAACCATACTGTTTGCATTAGGATCTGTTCATTATGTGGTGAACTTACAAAACACTGATTTGAATGAAAATATTATTTTCAAGAATATTTTCAATCAAGTGAAAGTTTTACAATTGATTGCTAATTAAAAAACTCAAGCCCGACTCTCTGTTGTGAGATCACCTTGAGTACCTGACTGTGTCAGGTTTTTAAAGCCAAACAGCTTCTGTAGCTAGAACACTGATATGGTTGACAACTCACCGCATCCTCCACAAGGGCAGCAGGCACCAAACCTGTTTCCCTGTTTTTCTGAGCCGTCACCCAGAGCCAGTCCATGTCAATAACATCATCTACTACAAATACATCTCCCTGGAAAAAACTTAACGTGAAAAAAAAAAAAGGATGAATATTCATGCATTTACTGTGGAAAGCAGGGTGGCTAAGATGAGGCCCCCAGTTCAAGACTTTCTCTCATCATTCTATTCAGTGACACAAATTTGTTCTTTGCTTCCAAACAGTCTACTCAAATTCACCTTCTGCCCATTTTTAATCATCATATATCTCATTTCCATTACTTTTTAACCACCTTTGATTATCTCTTACTACATGTAATGCAGGGGTTTCAAAATGCTTTGAAGTAGGCATCAGACTCAGCAAAGTAGGTGACATTAAAAAGTTCATTGAAGGCCAAAACATAATTATTTTGATGAGAGTAACTGGTGACATGTTATCCAGTAGCCAACAGAACTCCAGTAGTCATGGGCTTGATTTGAAATCCCTGCTAACTATGCTGGAAGTCTGCATTGTAAGTTACAGAGCAAGTTTTTTTTACTCAGATTTATGGCCCAAACACACAATGACATTCCATAACTTACATTACAGACAGCAAACAGGGTTTGTAAGATGTTTGTTGAATCTTTGGGCTCAAATGGAGGAGGAAGATTTCAACTCAAATCAAACTTCAATGGGCCATGCAGCAATATATGGCATGCTATTAACCAATCATAGGGCATGTACCAACTGAGAGTATAATAATAAAGTGGAGTGCTTGAAAACTAACTGGGGTAGAAAAGTATTAGACAAGCATAAAATTTCAGTGCTGCTTGCAAATTTCAAACCTCTAATGACCCCCTACCTAAGTTCATCAGTATCTGGTACTTTGCTGTAAGTATACTTGGCTATCACTCTTTTTTTGACAAGAACTGGTTCTGGAGGTGGGACAGGAAACTTTAGGTGTTCATCCTTTAGCAAACAAGACCAAGCTGTGTAGTAACCAATCAGATCATTCAGAGAACAGAACTGTCGTCCTCCAATATAATAGTCTCCACACACGCCTGTTACACGGAAGTGACTGATGCCATTTCGACCAAGGTAAGAAAGAGAATATGTCCCTGGTCGTCGATCACTTTCACGAACAAGGTATGAGCCAACTTGTCCAATGTTTGTGAGTCTCTTTTCAGCATCTGCTCTGTCAAGCTTTCCATGAAACCATCTGAGAAAAACACAAAGAAAATTTAAAGAAAAATAATTATTGACAGTTCCCTTTGGTGTTTCTGAAAAATCCAGTGAAGAATTGCCAACACACTGGTGGTTGAATACGAATCAAGGAGTTACAGCATTTTCAGTTATGAAGATCTCTGACCACCTTCCCAAATTCTCAGTGACATGCAAACATTCTTATAAATAAGTAAGTATGAATGTTTATACACAAGTATAAATTTCTCTCCTTAGTACCTTTAGGGGCTGCTGATGACCAATCATTAATCATTCATAATTTTGTCACAGTTTTGATTAACCTTGTAATTAGCTTATGTTATACTCGAAATGTGGATGAATAAATAACACATAACACTTTTTTTTTCTGTGAATAATTTACGGACGTATAGGAATAGGGACACACTCGGTTAGCAGGTTAGGAAGCTAAAGATTCAAACACAGAAAAGTCGAAACCAAACTACGCGCCATTATAGCAGTGATCTACTGTTTGAGTAGTGCAAGCTGCTGGTGAAAACGAATTATTTCCCAACTGAAAACCGATCCCTTATATGTCAAGCATCACTAAATCGATTATGAATTATCTATTATTATACAGTTTAGAAAATGGAAGTAATTTTCCTTGATTTTTCTCTTGTGAATACCAACTATTAAAGCGCGTTCTATCGTTAAGATTCATCAGGTAACAGCAGGAAATGAAGCATCGGTTCTGATTTCTATTTTCATTACCGCACAGTATCGGTAAAGTTCACTCCTTCAGCCAATAAATAATAAATGTCAATTTAAAAAGTGCAGAATAGTCATGTAAGACCCTTCCTCGATTTTGTGATTTAGGTTTTGTCCGAAAGCCTGAGAATATTTTTCAAAAGTACCTGACAATACAGAATTAGAAACATAAACACTGACAGCTTGACGACATAGCTTATGAATCATGAACTGTATGGGAGAACTTACTTATCGTCCGATGGAGCGTGAATACCAAGGTCTATTTCTTCTTCTTCTTCTGGACACGGGTCTGGGTCGTCTTCAAAATTGTCATCTGGCTCGTTTTCACTTATCAAATTGACTTCAGAGCCAGAGGAACAAAAGCGATCCCTGAACGCCATATTTTCCTCTCTCCTTCTCTTCAGCAGTGCGTGCGGGCTCAAAAACCATTTCGCAATAAATCACGGGGAGGGAGGGGGGAGAGGAGGCGTAACTGTCAAAAATTAACCTTTGCCTCCAGTTCAGAAGCACATTGCGCCATGTACAATTTAGACTTAAAAAATCTGTTTGATGATATCTTTAGTCCTTAGGGCCAGTAACAACGAAATTTCTGCTCTGTGAAAAAATGTATGGTGGGGGAGGCGAGGGGGTCTGGCTCGGTGTAATTTCCTGGGGTTTCTACGAAAAAGAATCCACAAGATCAATTTTTGTGCTCATATATAGTACCACTAATCGTTTCCTGCTTCAGCCTTCTTGTTTTTTAATTTTATCTATGAACAATGGAAGTCCGAGATTATGCGTATGACTAAAGTGCAATCCAGCTGTAATCTAACCTACAAATAAACATTTTAGCTGCTCGAAGCCGATGTCTCCGAGAATGAGATTTTTTCCCTTCCCTCTCCGCGAAAAATCTGTAACACGACCCACTTAAACAGGACGAGTTTGACCTGATGGCTGTAATGAAAGATTTTGATCCCGCTTTCAACAAAATGATTAAATTTCAGAAATACCCTCCAAACTACTGCTGTGTTCATAAACTTCTGTGTAGTCTTTCACTTTGTCAAACGGTGCGATCAGACGTTTACTAGTACTTGCGACTGGCAAACATACATAATGGGAAATTTCATTCTTCAACAGAACTTTCAATGATAAATTATAACCACTGCTCTGGTGAAAATTGGAAGATAAGATATATCATGAGGAAAACTACTCGCTAAGTCGTTTTTATTTATGAATTGACCAGTATGCTGGTCGGTTTCAACAAATTTCCTTCAGTCGGAAAACATTTTTTCAATTTAAACGGATAACAGCACCTTTCAAACATGCCATCCTAACAGAAATATGAACACGGGACAGTTGGATTCGCACTAGGTGCGCTCTTGTTTCATATTCAGCAATTCAAGGGAAAAATTATTTTCCTTTGGTTCACACAAAACAATCATTAATTTGTTATTTAGAAGAGATATATATATATATATATATATATATATAAAAAATATGTCCTCAGGTGGAGTATCAGCTGCGGCTTATGGCCGATAAACGTTCAATCGTGGACAAAAAGTATGCTAAAACGGAAAAAGGTGACTAAAGTTACTTTATTTATGTCGAGTCTTGAAAGCCGATTGACGGCCTGAGACGAAAATTGTGCGAGGAACTTTCGGTATCTCAGGATATTGAGAATTATAATATCAAAGTAAAATACTATATACAACGAACATGCATGTACAAAATTTCCTAAATTTAGCCATAGGGAAAAAAATAATCAAGATTGTCAAGTATGAAGCTTGAGTCGTTTCCTTAAAGGGCGAGCAATCGGTGCCTCCTGATCATCAGTGTAGGACACCGATATACCTGCTTCTCTATTGTCGGACACATCATCAAATTTTCTCCGATTGCGCTTTGGATAATTTGGAGACACATCGGAACAACCTCCAGTTCGAGGTGAAAGTGCGGGTGAAAGTTTACTGTCAAGAAGTATGGGAGATTCTTGCAAAACTTTGATACTGCTCGCTGATATAGGGGTCTTGTTCACATGTCGACGCATCAGACGAGAGGCTAACATTCCAGGACTCTGAAACACTTCGTCATCTTGCTCGTAGCTGGTGTCGCTGCTTCGAGAAGAATCAACGTTTTTACCCCTAGGTTTTTTACCACTCCCTTTTCTGTTGCGCCTTCCCCCAAAGACAACAGACTTGTGTATTCGTCGCTTCTTGTTCGCAGGTGACTTTTGAGTCTCATTTGAATTCGCTACACTACGGTCAAATTCTTTCTCCATTTCACTAAGCCAGTCATCTGCCTCCTCGGACGACCTAGAGTTGTCCTCAACAAGAGAACAAGATTCATTAGCCGAGCTGAGTTTCACAGAAACTCCACAACAAATCGACATGTGCTTGTTCCCGTTCTTAATAGGAGTCCTTGGGGCACACGACGATCTGTCACGTGCGTCTATTTCACAAGCTTCCCTAGCACGTTTGTCAGCTGGAGAGGCTGAGAAACACCTTTTTCGTTTTTGCTGTCGGAGTATCTGGTTAAGGGGACTCAAGCGCTTGGTTTCAGCCGGTGAATTAGACACACCGTGCGATTTCTTTTTTCCTCTTTTGGGAGGCGGAGTCGAGCTCTGTAGAGCTGGATTCCATGGCAATTGCGCTCCTACAACAGATGCACCGGTCATGCGAAGAAATATTTCATCTTCTTGAAAATTGGCTTGTCTTGCGATACTTTCTGCTCCCTCTGTGGCAGTTGAGTTCTGGAGGCAATGATCATTGTCATTCATTAGCGCATTATCATAGCTAAACGTTTCTGCTCCTCGGCTTTCAATGTCAGTGGATTTGTTATCAGGTATCGGAGATTTTGCTCTCAATCTGCGCTCAATCGTATCAACACGAGCAGACTTTGGGGTGGTTTTTGACGATGACTGGAGTGACTTAATTCTGGCATCGACAGTCACCTTGGCGCTTTCTGAGTCCGAACCAATCGCCACCACCTTTTTTTCTTCTGATGGCAAGTGCACTGGAGATTTTGAAAGGGTCCTCATGGGGGTGAGAAGCACCACACAGTCGTCCAGATGGCAAACTCTTACCGGGGTGGTAGGATCCGTCAAATTAGTTCGAGTCGACTTTGGAGAGACCGTAACAGTGGGTTTTAAGTCTTTTCGGTTGCATAAAGATTGCTCTAATGTTTGTTGACAAGTCTCATTGCTGTCACGCTTGCATAGCAATCCCGGACAGCTACGGATAGCGGGTTCGATGTTGTTCTTTGCAGGCGTTTTTGCATTTTCGTCGACACCCTGAACAGAGTCCTCCAGTTTGGTGAATTCTTTTCCATTTCGATGTGGATGGCGAGGAGAAAACGGAGAAAGTTCTGCGAGAACCGCTGGAGAAACATGCAAGGGGGACTTCAAAGATTTACGAATTGGTGTAAGACGAATAACGCATTCATCCATAAAGTAATCCTTTGATGGAGTTTGCTTTACATGCTGCGCCAGAGTAAATTTGGGAGAAGTCACCATGTTGTCTGAACAATTATCAGATTTTTCTTTCGTGGGCGTTTTCATAGAGCGTTTTTGCGAGAGAGCATCCAAACAATTACCATTTCTTATTGGAGAAGTACAGTTTTTACTATCAAATGACCTGGATCTCCTGCCAAGCGGCTTAGACTTTGTTTTCTCAGGAGACAGAAGTACAACTCTGGCATTAAAGCGCTGTTTGATAAGTCTTGGGGAGGACCCATGCGATGTTGGAGCTGTAACTCGGACATCCGAAATGTTATCTGATTTCTCTTTCCTCGGGGTTTTCATGTACTCCTCCTGTGAATTCGCGTCCAAGGGAGTGTCCTTTTGTGGCGGTTGTGTTTTCTCAGATAAGCTGGGCTTTTTAATTAGGGGAATGACTTTTCGTTCCTCATGGGCTTCTGGAAAGGGAACGGACGAAAATCCAATACAGGAAAATGAGCGCTTTTTAAAGAGCCTTGGTGAGGACCTTGTGGCTGTAGACGTGAATTTATGTTTGGGTGTTAATGGATTCTGGTGACTAAAGGTACTTTCCTTCTTTCGATCACATTCTTTAGATGTGGTCAGTAAACTGTGTAACGAAAACTTCTTTTTCTGCCGTGGAGAAAATCGCAATGGCGAAAGAGCTGGAGAGGACAACTTCTGAGTTGCCTTTTTCACAACGGCTCCCTGAGTAGAAATGGAATCCAATCCCTCTGTAGGTCCTTTCTGTGGCGAGTCACGGGAGTACACTCCACTAAAGGACCTAGTCCTTGTCAAAGGGCCTGTACTAGCAGAGCGCCCATAGAATGACTGACTCCGCTGGAAAGTTGCCAGCGGAGGCTTTCGTGGACTTCTTCGAGGGAGACCTTCTCCTGCAAAGAGTTGTATTTCAGTTAAAAAACCATAACTATATGACGCCGCGGCGTTTATTTAATTTTCATAGTTTCTAATGCAGGGTTTTTTCAAAAGTATATTTCCTAAATTAAAGACAAAAATTTCGGAAAATCGTTATAAACATTACGTAACACCGAAGCTCGTGTAAAGTTGCAAAATCTCGTTTTTTCGACAGAAATATCCAAGGATTGTGTAGATTACCGTACTTTATATTCTCTTTTATCATAAACCTCGAAATAACGCCACATTTCTCAAATTAAGCGCGGCGTTTACTGCTAATTTCCGCTGTGCAGAGATGAAAAGAATTACGTGGCGCCTCAAGAATATTTCAAAATCTTAACATTGCGGATAGATGTAATTCTGCACGTAGCAGTCAACACCTCAAAATATTGCTTTGAAGTACTTTTAAGACAATTTACCTGCTTTTAACTCTTTAAGGGGTGACTCTTCTAAAATATGCACCTCTGTATGAGCTCTAGAACGTTTTCTGGAATCAGAGAACAGAACGTTCAGGGAAAAATTAAATTTCCATAGTAAACTACACAATGTCGATGCTTAGTTCCCGAATAAATAGATTTCGATCATGAGTTTTTGAACAGTTTGATTATGTTTCTAAAAATCAAAGAAAACATATGGATGTTGCTTTTTGTTTATTTACCTTTTCGGCCCGTTTTTAAACATTCTACTCAATGTTTCCGTACCAAAGGGAGGTAAGATTGTCAAGCGGTTTAAGTAATTTATTTCTGCTCGGTGGGCCTGGGTTCAAATCCTGCTCTGTCTTATATTACTGGGTTTGATTTGGGTCGTTCGGAGTTCAGCTCTTTAGTCATGCTTCGTGTTTCTTACTTATTATGTGGGTCATCATTTAAAAACTACTGGGTCACTTGTGATTGAGTCACGCTCGATAAGCATTTTTTCTTTTATCTTTGTTCACCAAAGAGAGAAGGGAGTATGGGACATTCCGCGTATGATCTGAGTCGTACCAGAGTCGCCTTTACACGGCAAGAACGACCAAACCTTAAGGGCCGATTATTTACACGAGGTCTGTTACCCCAAACAGCGATTTTACGAAAGCAGTGGGCCTCAGGGATTCTCTCTGAGACGGTTGATTTAATTAAATAAATTTTCCTTCCACTATTGGCCTTCGGCTCTCTTGACACTGCTCACCGAAAAAAATGTTAACAAAAGGTTCGGCTACATTGAAAATGGCTTAGAACGCGGTTTTGTTAAACAACGGATAAACTTTGTTTAAATAACCGGCCCTTAGTGTTTGCCAAATCAAATTGCTTTTCGGATGCCGCTAGCCGAAATGTCATGAACCATTTGGCATGGTACACGGACACTACAGCGTTTTACAGGGCTGGTAATAGTCGTCTTTGTTATGTAATGGAACTAAAGCAACTGACCTGGCTCGATCCTGTTTGTACCATAATGCATTAGAGACCTGTTTATGGGCAGGAGTCTCCTGAACCGTGGAGCTTGAAAAAGAACCTGTCAAACAAATAAATATGCACCGCCGTTAATCTCTAAAAACTTAGCTCTAACCTCAATATCAAATTTGTCTGGGATACTTCGGGCCGATCATGCGCCTTGAGATCACGTCAAGGGTGTGGCTGGGCTTGCACGTTTTCCGATCCAGCCATATGAGAAGAAGCAGTTAAGGATAAAAAGGAAAACTCGCGTGATGCGCTGTTGAGGCGAATTGCAAGAGTTTTGTAATTTTTTTCAAATAGTAACTTCCTTTTCTCCGCATAAACATGTATTGAGTGCCGGCAGAACTTCACCGTTGGATGCATGGTTTTGATTTCTCGGCTGGCGACTTGGAATAGTTAAATAAGGGTCTATGATAGCATGATTACTGTACATACCCACAGTATTCCTCCGGTGAAATCGTCGCTTTGCGTGTTTCTTTTTCTCTCCTTGTGACAACTTCCTTTTCCTTGGCGCTCTGGCGGTTGAGTTATTCTCATCACTTTCTTTTGATTCAATGAAGAGATTTCGTCGAACTTGTTTTACTGGTGTCTTCTGAACCTTCCCTTTTTTCTTTTCCTTCTGGCTTCCTCCTAGAAATGTAATAATACAACGCGTCCTCACTTCTAACGGTATCTAACAAGTACATCTAAAGCCTGCACAGAAGAAAAAGATAAAGAAGTAGAAGGGAAAGATGAATGAAAGGGAAGAAATCCTAAGAAATCAGTAATGATATAAACCAAGCTTTCCGAACCACGAATACACAAACCATACGGAAACATAAAGTAAATTCAAGTCGTGAAAGTTTCAAATCAAACTAGTTGTTGCAAATCTTAAATTTCTTCGTTTGTAAAAAACTCGAACCGTTTTGAAAGCATTTTCTGAAATTAATACCGTTACATCTGAATAATTCTGTTAGGTTTCCTTCAATGTATCCATCTTCAGTCTAAATAATTTGATTATTTCGTCCTAAGAAACTATGTTTGCCTCGGGAAAAGATAATACTTGTATAGATTTTTTACCTCTTGAACTAAGAGACACGTGCGGTTTCCCCTTCAGCGCCTTTTCTTTCTCTTTATCCTTTGGTTTTGCCTTTCCCGGTACAACAATCTCTCTCCTTTTACCACCAGCATCTGAAACGCTAGAACGACGGGTGATAATACGACATCCACTGCTCCTTGTAAAAAAAAAAGAAGAAAACTCGTTGTTAACTGAATGAATTTATTTCATTTTGCCCTGTGTCTGTCAAGAAAAAGAAAAGGACATACAAGCCACAGGCGAGGATTTCGTATCACATTTCGGTGTCTTTCGTGATTCATGACTGAAATGAAGCAGGAGAAATAACATCTATCTGCTTGATGCATGGAGCCTAGTTTTGTTTTCTAGCTCGTTAACAGCTCCTTGTTGTTTTTTCTTATTTTTTCGAAGCCTTAACTTTCCCAATCTGGAAAAAAGGTTGGAAAACATTTTCAAAAGTGGGTGCCATGTTAAACAAAGCGACGAAAATAATGTTTGCACGTCGCCAAGCGAAAATCTCTGGGTACAAATATGGATTATAGTGCTTTAAGTTTTCAGCTGACCCCCTCCTTTTGGAAAAATTAGTTTTTTTGAAGGTTCAAATCAGAAATGCGAGATACCTGCAGATGTAAAGCAAAACGTAAAGTAGAATATCAACAGTTCCTTTAAAAAAGACTTCAGGTCGAGCGTTGAAGACATCTAACAGAACTTATTTCTATTGAGGATGAACTGAGCGAGGAAGTAAGGTCTGGTTTCTGGTCGAAAAACTCACTTCAAATTTTTACATTGATGTGAGTCAATGGATTGCCAAGTCCGTGATTTATTTTCAATTCTTTTAAATCAACTTCAATCCGAAGTCTATAACAAAATACATTTACATGCCAAGAATGGTACGTTACCTGGGTTGATTAGAGTCTTGTTTAGCGCTAGAGACAGAGTTGATTTGGCGTCTGATTGGCGATTCATCATCACTCGACCATTTAGAAGGCGTAGACACTTCTCTGGGAGGGCGCATCATCAAACCTTCGTAAACAGCACAGAGGAACTTGGCGAGTTTCTGTCTGAACCTGAAGTTTGTGAAGCGTGCAGGCAGAGTTAGTCCAACAGGGTTTTAAGATAAAAAACCAGTGAACTGCATAGAACACATTGTCGACATTACAACTGCCGAGAACTAGTTAAAAAATAAGCCAACTCAGTGGAGTATGGGAAACGGAAGAGGAAAGGGCAGGAAACGGTAACTTGTTGGGGGCAGTAAGCGGGAAAGAAAAATGAAAATACAAACGTTGGCTATCCAATAATCTGAAGTGTCTGACAAATGAAAACAAACGAAAGAGCGAAAAACGGGAGCCAAAGGTGCAGGTGGCGAAAAGGTAAGGAATAAAGAGATGGAAGTTTTTACCTCCTCTCCCAACACACATCAATCACAACGAGTGGTAAGATTAAAGCAATGGGTTCCAGTGGTTTATTTGTGATATTCAATTAAAAATTATTCTGATTGCGAATGAATATTCTTACCTAAAAAGAAGTACCTCACGAAGGAAAATAGTCAGGAACTTCAGGTCCTTCATAAATGAGATGGCTCTGAGGAGTACAGTGACCTACAACAGGGTTCGAATGAGACTTATTTAACAGATCAAGATCGCTGGGGTATGTATCCCAGTTATCAACTGTCAACAAATTAAGAATGTCACTCAAAACCACTCTTGTTCTACATGATTGACCTCCCTAAAGAGTAAGTGTTATTAAAACCACTAGCTACCAAACATAATACTTTCACAGAGGCAGGATACCAGTCAACCCTTTAACCCCTCAGAGTGATTAGTAACTAATATGACTCCTACCAGTATTACCCTTAAAACAAAGATTGAGCCCTTGAGTTCATGAGAACAAAGGAAATGATGACCAACTAAAGAGGCTGTTGATTGTTGAGCAAATTCTCTTTTTCAGTACTATAGGAAATGTATAGAAAACAGTGTGGAGAAAACATATACTGATGTTAGGGTGTAATGGAATAAAATGAAGATAATTTGGCTTTAACAACTAAGTTGATAATATAAACTGGCCAACTCGGATGATAAAACCAAGTCATCTTGCTGTACCCCCCACCAATTCTGCATCACAGTTTCTTATGGAGCTTATTCTGTTCATTCATTTAATTAATAAAGGTGTATGCTGACTACAGCAGTTTATGCACATATTAACCTTATTTAAGATATAAAGTAACAACCTCTTCAACAAGGGAGCTCTTTTCATTAGCTTTTATGAGAGCTGCAATCTCCAATCGAAGCAGGATCTGGAACTGGTACCTGATACAAAGGCAAGGTGGAAAAGGACATTAGATATTAAAATTTATGCAGCCAAGTTGAGGTTTCTGTGCTAAAATATTTAGTGTAATCAACAGTTTAATGTTTTTGCAATATTTTTATTACACTTAAGACATCATGAATCATACAATTACTGTAGAACAGTCTAAGGAAACCAAGTGTTTTTCTTGGAATTCAGCACACAATTGGTTTGTTCTCAAACAAAATTCCAGAGTAGTAAATCAAAAACATATGTAATCCATTGAATGCATTAATGTATTTTTTATCATTTGTTTTCAACTTTTCTCAATTTCTTTAATTGCATAGTTTTATTTGTTAATACAAAGCTGTGCTCTAAAAAAAATCCCTAAGTCAGCCTGATGGCTCATTTCTTAAAGGTCCGAGGTGCCATGGTCTTGACCCTTTTATTCCAGAAGTGACCAAGAACTAATTTCTCTTTATAACATCAGTACATTATCAAGCACATAGGTGATGAGAATAAAGAAAACTATCAACATACATATATAATTTGATTCAACAGAAAATTCTCAAAACTAACATTATGGGAAACATGGGGCAGACAGTAATGAGAATGACTGTAGAAATCAAGAAGGTGAAAGTTTTAAACATTTTATTAGAGCACTATTGAAAAGTCACCCAAGGGGTTGTCTCCTGTTACCCCTTTGTGCTCACTTGTTTGTTTCTTTAAAGTGGGAGGCATAACACCTGCTCAAGGGTACAATGTAGATTTAAAAGATAAAAAAAAGCAGCTGCTTACTCTCTGAGTTGCTGCCCTTGTCTAATGACATCACTACATCCTTCATATTTTTCCCTTAGAGCTGATACTGTGAAGAGTACATGCTCCTCTAAAAACTGTGAAACAAGTGCCTGGGAAAGAAAAAAGAATTACTTCTCTTAGACCATACTGATTTTCCTTCTTGACAACCCCTACATGAATAAAAACAATTAAGTTGTGGAAGTAATGGAACCATTACAAAACAAGTTTGCAGTTGCTGATCCTGGTAAAGCATAACAATAATAAAGTATTAATATTATCAATAACTATTTGTTCTTTAGCACACTAGTTCTCTTCAGCTCATCATGGGTATACAAAATGTCTTAAACATTTTTAAAGGTAAAAGCTCATGTAAGTGTGTAAACATACCTTCTGTCTGTTATCATCCTCATTCACAAAAAATTGGGAAACTACGGTCACTATGTTTGTGATTTCATGAAGAATATTTGCTCCCTAGCAAAATCAAAAAATGTAATGAGACAAATAATAAACATTTTTTTGTCAAATATTCTTGAACCACATGTGCGTTCATTCTTCATTAAAAAAAAAATTGCATCCTTACCTCCAAAATAACTTTGTTGGTTAAATCACAAATGGTCATTATCAACTCAGCTTCATCTGCAAAAATAAAAAATTAATGTTCATTTTTATGACAAAAAATATGACCCCAATACCACAGCCACTCCAGAAAAAATAATCTTTGAATGCAAAGCCCACTGACAAGATATTGACTTCAAAATTATTGTCTACTGAACAAATATCTCCAGAAACAATGATGGAAAAATTCTCCACCAAAAACATGCAGTTCCAGGTAATCATTAGTCTAAAAATTATGAATAAACCTGCATAACTGCTTTAAGTGTATGCCTCATAACACTAAATCATTGGAACAATGAGCAAGATACAGCAGAGCATTATTTCAAATGTGTAGGGAATTTCATGAATCAAGATGACTTCTCTCAGTTATTTAGAAATTGTAAGTGAGATGTCTGTTCAAAGGTCAATAATTTGGTAGCCACTGTTATATACTGTACCTTTCAGATTACATGAGACTTGTGGTATTCCAGTGCTATCATTGGGCACCTGGCTATCATTGTCAGTGGGAAGGACATCAGCACTATTATTCTCAACTGCAGATTGACTTTCATTTATATCTAACTTGCCCCTCTGATTATCCACATTTGTTTCCTTTCTCAAATTCCTTCTGCAGAAAAAAAAAACAATAAGAGTTGATACTAGAATTACAAGTTCCTTTCAAAATGACTGCTTTTCAATTGAGAGTCAATCACAGTCATGATATGTCATTAGCAAAAGGAAATTATGTTTCAAATTAACAATAGTTTGGCAATTGATAAATTACCAAAGTATCATGCATGAGCAATAATTCATTTGAACTTGAAAAAAACATACAAACTACATTTAATCTAAGACATAATAATAATAAATTCATCAATCATTGTCAATGACATTATATAGAAGTTAATAAGGAAAAATAATTATTAAACCAGCCCAAAAATAGGCCATGAAATTATCCGGATTTTTTCAAGGGTGATTCCAAGAATATCATTCACTCGAAGGAGCTGCTTCTTACAAGGCAAAAGAATAGTATTACACATGTTTGAATAACTGATTGGCTAGCCACCAAGCCTAGAAGTTTCAGACAAAGCACCCATTCATACAACTGTTATAAGTAGAAGTTTATGTACCTTATTACATGTACTTACTTCTGCTTCAATGAGGTACTCTCCAACTCTGATTTCTCTGCAGCACACTCCTTCAGCTTCTTTGATAACTGACTTACACTGGATGATGCTGATACTGAATGTGTTTCTTTCTTATTATAAAGATCCTTCAATTCTTTCATTAGAGCAGCTTCATCATCAACATAATCCTCTCTCTCCTCTTCAGACTTACTATCCCTGTCAATCACAATATTTTCGTCAATATTCATCATTAATAATGAACAAATATTCACCAAAGTGGAGCTGGCTAGTGGTGGATATGTATCTACCAAGCAGCAGAGCAGCAATCCACTGCTAACCAACAACACTGGGGTAAATACTTGTCTTGGTATATACTAAAACAGTGAGATAATACAACCGAAAAAAAGTTATTTGTTCTTGCAACCATTACAGTTCTTCAGGCACAAATCCTGCATGAGTTGCTCAGATATTTAAAGTTTGACTAACCAATCAGGGCACACCTTTGACGCTATCCACTGTTTCAGTGCGTAATGTCATTGTATATACCAACAATTATTTTAACTATAACATTTTGCCAACAAGCACCACTTGTGGCATATCATTTTATTCTGGATTTCCAACTTAAAATAAAAACAATGTAGTGTAGGAATGGTGAAAAGTGCTGCACTGTGACCCCTCTACTGTAATAACTGCACAGGACTACAGTGTGTGCCATTTTGTAATCCATAATGTACCTTCAAAATTATTAACCCTTTAACTCCCAAGATCTGATTATAAATTCTCCCCTCTACAGCTGCTTCACATTTCCTGGTAAATTAGCTTGAATATTTGGTGTTAAACCAAGATACAACTTCTACCTGATTAGTTTGCATATTCTCAATTACCTGTTTGCTGAATAATGTATAGATAATCCAGGGAGAAGTTATATGTTCATCATTTATGGATGTTAAAGCATTAAACTATAGGTACCACTTCATTGACAACATAAATTGTAAGTGCAATACAATACCTTTTTAGTTCATTCAAAAATGAACCAATTATGTTTTCCTTGACAGGAGAGGAACCCCAAGGATGAAAAGATATTGCATCAAATTCTTCAACTTTATTTCTGACCAGATCTAAAGATTTAATGCAAATTAAGCTATTTAGAAAAATATGTAAATGTTGGTAAGGAATTTCATTAACAATTTATCTCCTAAGAATGATAAGAGTCTTATTTCTCCTCACATCATCATCACTGGATTGAACACTAAGATCATAACAATAAATAAAGTGAAAGGCAATTAAAGAAACTCTTGATTGATAAATAATTCTCAATATTGTTAATACTAAATGAAACATATGGAGAACTCTGTGAAGATAATGCATACTGATTTCAGGTCCAGTTAAGGGGTAAGGTTAGTTCTCTTGCATGTCTATGTTTTAGCTCTCACTTATTCACAAGAACGTACAGTATCTTCAAGGAATCCATAATTTCCATTGCTAGTTATATTGCCAAATATGAGAATGTTTAAGAATAAAAATAAGGAATGCCAAAACATGAAGCTTTGGCAATAACTTGTCGTCATTGTCATAAGCAAATGACACAAGAATTGGTCACAATATTACATAGAAATGGAAGGGTGAAAAGAGGTTGGAAACAATGAATGTATCTAACAAAATAAACAGTTCTACTGGAGTGGAGTCTGTGACAGCACATCTCACGTAATTTTATTTCTTTGTGTAGTGTGTGTCATTACTAATTCCTTAATTCACTTATCTGCATTTGATAATTGTTATATGTTATCCCTAAAACATCATGATTTCAAAATATTGCCAATCATTATTCTTAAATTTGTTATTTACACTCTTTTGATGCAAAGCAGTCTCAATTGGGAATTTCAAAATCACACTATGGTATGACTACACAAAAGAGAGTAGCAAGTTATTATGACATTTACTGTCATCTCACCTTGTGATCCAGTGAGCCCAAGAAAGACTGCAGGGTAAGAAAGTGATCCAGTTGATTTAGGATCATCTTGGGATCTATAGTTACTGATCAATTCTGGGCAAGCCTCCACAGTTATCAATTTTGTTCTGTCTAAATTTGAAGAATTGCCAAGCCACAGAAGAAGCTTTTCAAAAGCTACAAGAAATTCTGAAGCAATAACATTTATCACACCACAGACAGAGGTCAAAGGTTGGAGGACTCCAGTGACTGGTAACCCGCTATCACAATCAAGAAAATCAATAACCTGCCCAAAAAAAAAGACAAGTTGTAAGACAAAGGGTTAGAACTACATTGTATCTTTAACCCTTTAACTCCCCTGATCTGATTGTTAGTTCTCTCCTCTAGCTGCAACACCTTTCCTTTTAAATTAGTTAGGGAGAATTTGGTGGTAGATCAAGATAACAACTACTGAACAAGTTTGAGTATTTTCTATTATTTTTCTAGGAGAAATAAGACGCTGGATAATGTATGGATATTAAGGGAGAAGTTCATAATTTCTGGGAGTTAAAGGAATCAGTCAGAGTTATCAACCCTTAGGCATCAGAATTTTGGGGGCTTTTACTTTTGTGGATTTTGGAGATCTGACAAAATATGCCTCTGCAAAAAAAAAATAAAATAAAAAAAATACTGCAAAATCAGAAGTCAAACAGATAAACTCCAAATGAGATAAACTTCTGCAGCTGAGGCCCAATAAATTGGTCATAGGGGAGAGAAGTGATACAAAGGGTGTTAATTGTTATGTATGGCACAGTTTTTGGTAAGCCTACTTTTGAGAAGTATTACTACCTTAAAGGAATTTAGGCAGTTGTCTTCAATAACTACACGTAAAATGCATTGTTAACCATAAGTCATTTAAGTTGAAAGCATAGCATAAAGTTGCCAGAATTTGTATTTAGTGGAAATTCTGTTACATGTATGTCAGGTTCAAAAATTTGTTCAAACAAAATACAGAAAAAAATTTTAGTTTTTACAGTACAATTTCTTTGGGGATTTACGTTTCCAATGCTGTATTAGTGGGAGACCCAAAACACATACAAATGTGCATATCAAATGAACAAGTTCCAGCAATTTAGGAAACAGCACTTTATATAATTTGAACTTAAGTAACACATCATTTATTAAAAAATTTTCATACCAGTAATTTGTTCTCTTTTGCCAAAGAAAGTAGAAGTGCTTGGTACCACCCAGAAATAAGCTTCTGAGAGCACAAAGAGGAGTCTATAGGACCATCTCCAGTACTGTTGTCCAAACCAATACAAGAGTAACCTTTGGTGGGGTGAAGCCATGTTGGAGAGACACAAGTGTGGCTCACTACCCCTCTGATCCAAAAAAGGTTCAAGTTGCTTGAGTCATTATTTGATGGTGACTGTTTTCTCTCCATATCCATAGCTTGACCAGTTAATGAAGAGTTATCATGAGAATTTCTCAAGCCTTCAAGTCCTTCCACCGACCGAAACATAGAGTGAAGTTTCACAGTACAATGCACCTTATCTTCAGGACCTGAAGTAGGTCAAAAAGAGGAAAGAAATTAAAACAAATGCAGAGACAAAAATATGATGAGAAAATGAAGTCATTGATAAACCTGAAGAAGGTGAGATTTTTATAGATTCTAGAGCACATCAGGGCTCGAACTTGGCAGTGGTCTACTAGCTAAATACTGGTAAATTTTAAACTTTGGCTGGTGGATTTTGCTCATTTACAAGCAATCTTACCAGTAAATCCTGAGGATGTACTAGCCATTTGACTATTAAGTTCAAAGTTAAGTTTGAGCCCTGCACATATTGAAAAACTACTTGTGATAAGCTTTATCTATATGGTAATCAGGAGACTACAGTCTTTGAGTTTCAGAAGGAAAAGAATAAATAACAAGAAATAACAATTATTAACAAATAATAAACAATTAACAAATTAACAAATTAACAAATAACAATAAATAACAATAAATAACAATTATTGTTATCACTTTCCAGCTTTTGGAGATTACCACAAGGATCTGTCAATAATATTGTAACTTTTCAGAAGCCACTACTGAAGAAACTAAACAACAATAAATTCTGATGACATTACCTGAAGAACACAGTAATCCTGTACCATCCATTTTTCCTTTAGCCCACTGTTGTGAAAAATCCTCCAGTACTGATGGCTTTGTTGACTTCTTGCACAAATAAGAATCCAGTACAGTTTTAAAAGGAAGTAGGTGTCCCATAATTGATTTGACTTGCTCAAAAACTGAAACATCTTTTCCAGATCGAGGTTTTAAGTTAGATCCAACAGAGATCCCTGTATAAATGACTGCTGAAAGAGGTATCAGGCACCCTCCAAGCTGTTCCACTGTTACCTCTACTGATGTTTTAACACTAGTGTTCTAATTCACAAAAAGAAATAACTCGTGTAAAAATACAAAAACAGCAAACAGATCTTAAAGAGTCCAAATCCACATGCTGGATTAATTAAGGTTCAGATTATTTCCAATTGGCTGACAGATGCCTTCATGACTCAGACACTTACTGTAAGTAAAGTAAGCCTTTATATGGGCCCAAGTAGCCCATGGGGCCGGTGCCTAACTCCGGTTTTCTTAGCATAAAGCGGCTAGGAGTATTGCTACTCCTCCCTGGATGGGATGCTAGTCCATCACAGGGTTACCCCCAGCACATTTGCTGGTACCCATTTGTACACCTGGGTGAAAAGAAGTACTGTGAGAGTAAAGTGTCTTGTCTAAGAACACAACACAGTGACCCCAGCCAGGGCTCAAACCTGGATCACCCGATCCGGAGTTGAGCGCACTAACCATGAGGCCACCACGCCTCCACCAGGCACTTACTGACTATTCATTTATTCATTTTTGGGCTTTCGCTTTAGAACTGAACTCATCAACTTGTCCTTGTTCTTAATTGTTTCAAATCTTTTAGGTTGATCAGGATAACTTTCATCTCAACTTTCATTGAAACTTGACTGAATAAAAGAAGGTTTTGTGTGCACTTCAACTTAAGTTGGTTAACCCTTTAACTCCCAGATCAAATTTCTAATTCTCCTCACTGTCAACCATACAATTCTAATAATGTTGGTACAGAGAATTTCGTATTGGATCAACTAATTATTACCAAATTTATATTTTCTTTATTCTCATTGCTTATCTGGTTGATATTGTATTGATATTGTAAGGAGAAATTATGTCTTGGTCACTCATAGGAGTTCAGGGGTTAAAAAACTGCATGCCAGCTTTGCAACAGATAAAAGACTAAAACAAGCCTCAGCTTGGTCACTAACATTTTCTAACACTTCAGCCAGTTTGACTGTTTCCTGTTTTTTTTTTTTTTACTGGGTCTTCATTGGCTCCTGGTAATGTTTAACTTCATTCTGACTGGCAGTTGCAGTTACTTTGGATTTCACCTCTCTACACTTAATAAAAATCCTTCTAACAACCCAGCTAGCCATATAAGAAACAGGCAGGAAACAAGACTGACAGTTTAGTTTACTAGTTTGACAATACTTTGAAATCAAACCACTAGCCAATGACACTGCAAAGACAGCACATTCACCTAAGGAAAAATTCAGTGTAACCATATACTAATCCGAAAAAAAGTATTACTCTGAGAGGCAAACGCTTTTTGCGACTGTTTTCTTTCATCAAATAATCGTATGCATCATGAAGTATAGGGTTATACGGAAATCTTGCCCAGTTAACCGAGTAGCTGCTAATAGATTTCTGAGTGGTATTATGGTTGTAGAAGAAGAGAAATTTGTCTGTGCCTATGAAATCTACGCTCTATCATAGGACCTGCTATTAGAAACTGCCTTGTGTGTCATTTTCTGGAAGAATTACCGCAAAGCTTCCTTGACTGGCATCATCTTAAATCACATTAAAACCGATGTAAAAAAATAGACATGTACCTCTTCTTGCTGGTAGTTGCTTATGTTCACCCAATGTAAACAAATGCGCCTTTCCTCGAATTCCTTGTACAACACTGAGGGCATCAAAATACTTTTGAAACCCTCTACAGTTCCAAGGAAAGACAAATTTTCACCAGTGAATTCCGAGATTGAGTCATCATCATAAGGGCAACCGCTCAACAAAAAGATAACATTATGTGTATCGGTTCTGTTGTCAAGGTAAAAGAGCGTGTTGTTATTTCCACGAGTTCTCCTAACAGGGGAGCTAATGTCAGGCCTTTCCCACTGAAAATCGTGAACAGCATTTTTAAAAACAAAAGAAATACATCTAGCTCCTCCCGCAGGTTTCGAAAAGGTTGTAGTTTCTGCATCGTCTTGTTCCTTCGGTTCAAGTTCGTTTTCTTGCCATTGTTGTGCGAAGGATTCGTTCAACCTCTTCGACACATGATCTTCAAATTCCTCAAACGCGTTAACTAAAAATTCTTTGAAGTCGTGTCGTTCAAACTGATGTGAAAGTGATCTCGAGTTGAATATTTTGTATCCCCATCGTAGATTAGATCGCTTTTCTTCCCGATAATCACTAAAGTACGTTAGCAATCGAAGTACGCACAATCGAATGGCCTTCGCAGCATGGTCGGCGGAGTTGTTCGATCCCCAAAATGAAGGATTAGAGTCGATGAGAAATACAATTTGCTGGAAACTTTCGCGTGAGGATTTATCTGTCATATCCTTTCAAATATCGACTCTTTTTCTTTTCAAAGCGAAAATACTGTCACTGGCGAAACTATCTCAGTTCTTGCTCATGAATGCAACGGGAGTTGGGAATAGAAAATTTCCCGCCATTGGGTCACATGATCACACTGTTGAGAACTATCGGCACAGGTTACCCAAGCTTTTACGATTCAGCATGTTTTTAGGCTCTACGCTCTTACGAAGGGCAAACGCTTGAAACGTTCGCTTATTCCTATTTACGTTGGCCAATTTACCCTATCAACTCAGTTAATAAAACCAAATTATCTTGTTTCAAAGCTGTTTTGTTAAACACGGTTCAAATTTTTCCTTCCGTAGGAGCTGCTGACACCAATTCTTGTCGGCTTCACATTTAGCATGTTGGACTTAAAAGTGAGTGAGTATTTAATCCTATGGAAAATTCAGTTTTTCAGTTCCCTATCACCGATTTTCTTGGAGGAGTGAATGGGGTGTAAGTCAATAAGGCAGGTCGAAACGATTAA